TTTTGCTTCACCAGCTGCCTGGTGGTGGCTGCGGTTGTGAGATTATGCTCAGTTTTGTGCGGGCTAAGTAATTTGTACCATACAGAGGTGCCATGCTCTTGCTGCTTCCCTCGCTGCTCGGAACTGCATGAAGCCTGCCGGATATGCTAACGCACGACATGCTACTACGATATCTATTAGGGCGCGCATCCACAAATTAGCAGTAGAGGCGTGGGAGAACATACTTATCGGCTGGGGTGAATTTCGGCGACAGCGGAGTCTCGTTGTTTTCTTGTCAACTGTAATACTTACCGCATGGTGGCACCATAGTGCATGGCTGCGCATTTTGTGAAATATGCGTTTACCTATACAAACTGGTAACTATAACTCCTGCAAGGCACCCTTTATCTGATGGCAGAAGAATTCGTCCTCTATACAATTCGGCTTGGCCAGAATCCAAGCCGTTGAGTATCTCACGAGGAGGTAAACGGTACTTTGGGCGGGAAGCGAGAGTCATCGTAGATGCAGAACAGAGCGCTGTAAAGCAACGGAACAGTCCATAAGCGCCCACGTAGCATACGATATCGCTGGGTGTATAGCGCCAGGGTGTCCTTCGTTGGTCGGATATGTGCGGGCCCGTTCGTGCTTCGCGGCGCGTCTGTGGACTACCGGCACTGACCGCGTTGTGACCGTTGGTCTGCGTCCACAGTGAACAGCTAACTCAGAAATGGAGCGGACAAGGGGTATCCGACTGTTCAATTAACACCGGGAAATGTCTGCAGAGGAAACGGACACATCCTACGGGTGTCTCTCATCTGCGCATGTGCTTGGATTCCTGCTGGAGAGACGCTATACCTCTAGAAGCCGGTTATCTGCATAACAAACATTTTTTGTGCATTTGCGCCGCAGTACTCTCACGTTGCAATTACAGCGCATCACATAGGTGATGCCGGTGTTCCCGAACATCTTGCTCTATGTCTACACCCATCCAGCGCCCAAGAACTGGACCGACATAGCGTGAGCAGTCGGCACTGCACTTCGGCAGGTCCATTCACGAGCCCGTTGCGCTGGTGAAGGAGTGGAAAAAGCAGTTGCTTGCCTGTAGTTGGGGCCAACTGCAATCTACGGCAAATCTGCGAATCTAAACGATGGAGAATCTACTGAATGGTGGTAGTTATCAAGTAGATCATTTCTTCGGAGCGTCTAAGATCTGTGCTTTGCCGCGATTTCATTGACGGGAGGATCCAATTTTACTCATGCTTGCCGTATCGCTTTCCCTTCAAGAGCATCGGATTGCACTAGTTTATACCAGACGGAGTTTCAGCTGGTACGAAACGGAAACGTTTAACCAATAACCTTCCTTTGTCGGAAAATTACCCTTCTATGATGCGGAGACGGCCTGTTCCATCGGACGGAGCAAGATGCCCCCACGGAAGTCACATCGATTCGCTGCAGTAGCCATCAGGGTGTGGCCGACAGTCAAGGGGTGGCCTACTATGATTGAGTGGCTGTTCCCTAGGCAGCTACTTGTTATTTAATTCTCATGAGAGCCGTTCTTGCAAGTGGAGTTACTTCTGCTGTTTTTGAATGCACCAAACCCACTGTCCTCTGGAGACTATGAGGGAGTGTATACATTTCCTCCTCGTTTCCAGAAGGCCCTCTGCGCTGTGCGAAGAAAAAAGACCACCCGCAGAGTGCTTGCCCGTACATAGACCTCAGTAGTGGCCTCTGGAAAAAGGCAAACGCGCCCACCATCGTGTGACCCGCTGCATGCCTAATATGATGTCCAGGTAAACGGGGCCGACGCAGGAATCAACCATTATCGTTATGCGACTTTTTTCTGAATTGAACCAGCGTGCGAACTCTATATAGGTTTTCGGTCTTTCCGCCCTGTTCACTGAATTTTCACTACAACCATGGAAACATTGGCAACTGGCAGTTTTGCCGTTCTGTCCCCATCGTGCTAGTACGAAGTTTGCTAGAACGTGCAGACGGATGTAAACCCCGGCTGACAGTTATTGATTATGTATTCAACCAGCCCCTTAGATATTGTTTAATAAGAAATTTGTCTATTGTTTGTGTTTGTGTTGCAGTTGGCCGCGCAACTCGCAGCGCGCAGGATAGTGTTCGGTAGAGCCACTCGTGAAGCAGGGGTCTAGTTCCGGAGGGCCCATATATTCCTATGGCCCCAAATTGCCTCTAGTAGGCATGCAAAAAGGAGCTTATCACATCCTCCCTCCCATCTGTGAGACGAAGGCGGAGACCGCCATAAACGAGGCATAAACGAGGCAGGTAGGTTCCGCATCCCGGCTCTATCTTCAGATCTCCGATTTACTTCGCAGCCTGTGTCACGCCTTATCCCCCTGGGGGAGATGCTTAAAGGCTTGCTTCTTCTGCCCCTTAGCTCTTTTGATTGACCTGCTACTTCGAATTATGTGGACTGGCCGCGCGTCATACTCGCTTTCTGCCGCCGGTTTTCTCTACTTATCCCTGCGTGGTTTGGGCTGGCATTCACATTCCCCAGTTCAACATTCTGTAAATATGGGTTATTTTCAATGAATTTTTATTCCTTCTGAGTCGTGGAAGCGGGCGTGGCCAAAATATCTTTTATATCATGGGCAACCACTCCATCATCGATGTTAAGTCCACCTTTTCGGCTCTTCAGCTTTCCTGCGCACACCTGCACGTGCCCTCTCTATGTACTGCCCACTACAATTCCCGTACCCTGCGTTCTCACCTTGAGTGCAGCATTCAGTACTCTGAAATGCATTAGTTAAAGATCCGACAATTATGGAATAGGAGGTAAGCAGTTATAAGCCTGCGTAACATCTCCGTTCTTTAGCAGTAGTTAGAGCTGTTAGATGCGAGCAGAACAGGGGGAGAGCTAGCTGTGTCACCATTCCCCAATTGGGGCATCGTCACACATCCAGCGGTCCTCTGGACCAAGGAGAATCGAAACCTAGTTTCAGTTCCGAGAGTATACTCCTTGGCATCTTTCGGAAAGTGTTGTACACCCTTCCCTTGGTGTCGGAACATCTCTATGAATCGCTACACGGATGACCGGGAAGTGTGAGAGGTTCCTATAAATCGGTGCCGGAGGCTGGGTAGGATCTCTCGCGATAGGTCCTGCGGGTCACCTTTGCTTTTTCCTCTCACACTTACCTACACCTCCAATCCGCCTGTGCCTGTTACTGAGGCGCAAAGGGAAGGATGTTATCCTAGACAAATATCACGAGAAGCACAATCGCGTGGACAGTCGCGGCACTCCACTGAGGGTCTTGCTGCTCGAGCACTGGGCTCATAGTGGCGCACCAATTGTACTAGGAAATGCTGCACCCTCCTGCCGCAAGTTCTCAGGCCTCTGCCTGATGCCCCTGCTCTACAATATCAACTGTTGTCTGTACTGTTTATGATCAGCTCGCCAGGGCTGGCGCACGGGATTCTCCATTTCGTTCTGTTCGGTCTATCCTCCCAGCTTAGCCGCTCCACATTTTGTCTCACCCCAGCAGAAAAATTATTTTGCAGGTACGGTTGTACTGAAGCTGTCCCTAAAAGGCCGAAACAACCAAGTGTGTCTGCTTTTTCNCCGTAAGAGACAGGACAGCTTTGTCAGCGTGAATTTGCGCTGTATGATATATCTACAAAGGCGCCGTTGCCGAACTAGAGGTGTATATCTTCGGGACGACAAACCTGGACGAGCTTTCACGTCGTATCCTGCAGCACGAAGCCTGTCGCCTCTGCACCTCGCCATGCTGAACGGCTGTGCAGTCCTGTTGGCTCAGCGGCACAGCGTTGTCGGAAAGCAGTTCAGAATCGCACTGGACCTCAATACGCATGTGTATGGATACGCTCTACGGCCTCCAGTAAAGAGAAAGTCCAGAGAATCTTGTCAATACGGAGCTCGGAAGTCCCGGCACTCAGTCAATTCGTGGTAATCCCTGCCCCATGATGGAGTTAGGAACAGGCATATCCTTAAAAAATAAAAAATACTCTTCGCCTATATAACTCATGAAGCTCAACGTCAGGCAGTGTTTATGCCTACCGTCGTTCCCGTAGGCCGTTTAATACGCTGTAACATTGCAGTAAGGCATAGTTATGTCTCCCGGATGGCTTAGTGTAGTTAATGAAGTCGCATCCAGCAGCACGAGGAGCTGAAGAACTGACTTTACTCAGCTCCTGGTGTTGGTGCACACGAAGCTGAACATGTGAAACAACCGAATCCCCAATAATAATTCCGTATTGCTTTCCTCCGATGCCCAGTAGCGCGGAACTGTGTTATACTTGTCGGTTGCCGCATTTTTTGGCTGCCGCAGACTTCCTAAGTTCTTCTGAACAGGTGAGGCAGGCAATCAGCGAGTTGAACTTTGTGTAATGGATGCTCGGAAGGTAGGCAAGCATTAACGGCACATCTCTCCGCGTGTCCACTCGTATGCAAGCAGAGAAATCACCGCTGTGGTAACCAGTGGTTCTCCAAAACTGCTTAATGTTAATGCTGCCGACACTCAGGGCATACGAATAATGCAGTTAGACCCACAGACGAACCATTCATTTCGTTACTCAGGTCGAACATGGATTTTGTAAAAAGCATGTCCATCAGCGGTTTGTTGCAACAAAGCATATTTTTGGGCAAAAGAAGCGGACTACAGCAATGCAAGAACTCTCAACCGGCGAACACGAGTTGCTTCTGCTCCCCAGTTTCCGTTCAGCGCAATCCGCACTCGCTGTGTCAGCCACCCTGTTTTGCTCCAACATGCTTCACTACCGTTAGACGGCCATGATGCGGGAACTCGAGGTGCTCCAGGTGGGGCATCTAGGCAGAAAACTTGAAGCGCTGATTTCCTTTGGCAAAGGTACTCGAAATGGCCCACTTGACACCAGGTCTTGTCGCCAGCTTGTCCTTTCGCCATGGCATCGGCTCTGGAGGCAGGCTTTTGACATCCAGGCCCTTCCTTCCCTTCTAATTGTACGTACACGGAAAACCAACGCATTTCCACGGATTCGCACCGTCCTTCTAGATCTGTTATTGTAGGCGTTTCCATGGCAATAGCAAAAATCGGCGATCGGCGGGCGAGGTCAATAGTTACTTGGCCATGCTCATCTTGGATTATATACGTAGCATTACTGTCAGAAATAAGAACTCCCGGATCATTGCTGTGATTATAGAGGGGATAGTAGCTTTGGAGAAGCTTCGTAGCTGCAGTTTTCGAAGCAGTGCTAGAAGGAAGCGAAGTAAGCGAAGCAGCATTGCCAAGTTTGGGCATTGCGAAAGACGCCACGTTTTGCAGCAGCTGCGATACCACAAGAGCCCCGTGAGAAACAGCTCCGGAAGTCTGGGCGTAGTCAATCGATCCCCCAGCTTTCTTTGCTGCAATGTCCTGCCCCAGGGCCACACAGTCAGTTGAAGGAGAATCTGTGGGGAATCCACATAGTAATTCTGCGCCACCGTTGCAGAACCTCCCCAGTTTCGCGCATTGACGCTGAACGTCAGATGCGTCAGCAAGAAAGAATGTGCCAGTTGCGCGTTGCCATTCACGCTGAACCGGCCGGGAAGCAACCTCAACATTATGCATGCCTGCCCATAAGGCTGAAGCCAGTGGATTCAAGTCCTTCCAAAAGAATAAAAACACCCAACTGATCCCTAAAAATGCATACGCTACTCGGCGTGCGGCTACCGTTGTTCCTTTAATGCGAACTGCGGAGGCGAGTTTTGCATATATCTGGTGATACATGAAAGGCATCATGTTTGAGCTAAAAGAATTCATGAATGCGTTAAACAACAAGAAATGTGGGCTCCTCTTGGTGGACGTATGTGGCGTCTGGCATTTTTCGGTGTAGACCGCAGGGGTGCCAGCCACTGATGGATTGCGTCTTGTGCATATAGCTTCTTTTAAGTGCCTTATCTTGTCTGAATAGGAAATCGCCGAGCGATTCGGCGTTTCATGGTGGAGAACGTGCTGGCTGGAGGAAACTAAACCCCGAAAAGAATTCCGCGTACCAATACTGTCCGAAGACCGCACTGCAGGAAGCATTGTAACGCAAGGATGCTGCCGCGCTCTGCCACTTTTATTGTGGCCTGCGGCCTGTCCACAGACTGAGAATACAGCATCGCTGTCGGAGCTGTCGATCGGCTCCGGTTTATTCTTTGCGATCCTCAGGGCTCGAGTAGAATCATTTAATGGTGCGGGAGGCTCAGAGGGCCGCACGGAGGTCGTTACCTCCCCCGGGTTAGATTCTTCTCTTGGAGCGGCTGATGGGGAACGACGAATACGGGGAGATCTGGCCCTTCTAACTGAGCGCGGGGTCATTTGTTTGCCTGTCGATTTGGATATCCGCCTGCTAGTTATATGCATTGCCTTACCGGCATTTGCTTCTAGGACAGTAGCTTTGTGCTTCTCCACTCCATTCTGGAGGACGGAAAGCGGGCTTGAGGACGTCTCTAGTTCAGCTGTTTCCTTACGAGCTGCCCTGGATTTGTGGTACGTTGCTGCCCGGGGAGTGACTGACGACTCAAGAGGAATCGTTAGTGATACATGGAGACCTACACGATCAACACGAGCCGCGCTCACAGATACTTTTGGGTCCGTCTTGTTCAGCGTAAACGGACCTGCAGTAGATGCATTGGAATCTATGGAATCCAGACGATTTTCCAGCAGAGGCAGGGTTAACGCGCCCCTGCTTCGTCGTGTCACCACCATGAGAAATATATGGTCTGTCGCACTCAATGACGCAAGCAAATTACAAGGCTCCGATTTACAGTTTGTGTCCGTCGGGGTGAAAGCAAGCGATAGCGGCTGAACATGGTAGCGATGCTTCGGAATGCCGTGGCAAGGAGACTGAGTGGATTTGTGCAAAGAAGAATAGCTCCGGTGCGTTTCTGAATCTAGAAGCTCAATTGCAAGAGAGGTGTTCTAACATGCTATAATTCGTCGAAACCCGATGCGAAATCCACAAAATGTGGAAAGTTTAAGTTCGAAAAAGATCCATTCTTCCTTCTGATATCTTAAACACATAAGCTTCAGCAGCAGTTTTAAATTATTTATTTAGACATTTCCTGTAGTCTCGTTCTTAGCTTATTACTTGAGTTCTGCTTTTGAGGGCTTGCATGTAGTCAGCGTTCCCACTCCAGGGCCCGAGCTGTTGAAACGTTCTCAAATCCTGGAAAATGAGTTTAAGAAGACTACTAACTGTTGCTTTCCTCAGCAAGCATTACACTACTGTTAAATTAGAATATTGCAATTGAAAAACTCGTTTTTGCGGAGGTTAAAAGGGGAGAGCCGGCTGGTGGCCATTTGCTACGCAGCAGGGCAGAGGATCGCCCATCGTTAGTCCGCTCTGTATTTAGCATATTTGCATTTATTCCTTTTATTTTCGACTTTTTGGATACAGTTGATGAATTTATTTGAGGGCAGGTAAGTGTTTGAGGCGGGCCTTGGCGCAGGTGATAGCTGCGGAAATCGTAGAGTTGTTGACCCGCAGCGGGCGGGGTCTAATCTAGGCTCGGTGGCACAGTTTCAGGGAGATCACTTTCAAGACATAATCTTTTTGAAGTGCTTCTTGAAGGCAAGAAAAGGTGCTTTTCTGTTAACACGTGAACTTTTCTAAGATTTTAATTCAACATCTGCGCACCCTATCTGTCAGCAACGGTATTGCTGAGAGACAACGTGCACAGATGTCAAATTGAGAACCTGGACTTTACATACAAGTAAGCTAGAGGTAAGACAAAACCAAAAGCGACCTTCTTCACTTATTTGGGCAGTGGTGAGTTGGGTAGGAACTGCTGAAGCCCTACGGCGAACCATCTCCGACGCCGTTAGGGACTTCCGCCCCTCTAGGTGTTTGTTAAGGCGCCTTGCGGCTCGATAAGTGCGAGCTACAGTCGTACTTTGCCACTCAGAAAAGTTGAGGCCAGCCATATACATAGCTACAGTTCATAGCTACAATTTCGTGTAACCCTATGTGGACACTCTCCGTTAGCGGTGCTGATGCGGACTGTCACCAAATCAATACTCACTGAAGCCATTTCGGCGAAAACCACTACCTACAGTGTCATTGTTCCCCAAGCGCTACTGATAGCCTGCGCGCTAGGTGTTGCACTGAAATGAAATCCTGCCAGACGAAAGTGCAAGTACTCCGGTGACCTCAGCGCACACTTGCCTTAACGCATGCGAAAATGGGTGAGGGCACGAGCATTTTGGTGCAGATCGGAAACTGATGCACGGAATATTGTCACGACCAGTCTCGTCGCGAGGGAGACTTCCACTTGCGCGAATACTGTTAATAGATAGCGAAAGAATTGTTGAAGCATTCTGGATAGTGTTTCCGCATGGAGCAAGAGGGGATTGGTTCTGCATATATGCAGGATAGGCTTCCAGCAATACTTGCAACGAGGTGCGTTGCGACTCATGTAAGGTCACCATCTCTCCCACAGCTGAGAGCACTTTGCCCGACGGGCTCAGGGTGCCTGGCAGCTGGAAAGGATAATATGTGTTTTGTCCCATGTTATCGACGCATTGTCTAGGATCTATGCGATGTCCTCTAAGAGACTAGGTTTAAAATATAAGGCAACATGAAAGGTGGAGCGTAGCTAATACACGCTTATCTCCTTCCAGCACATAACCCAGTTATATGGAATATACTTCGATTCGTTACACCAATTGCGGGGGTGTAGTGAACAGCGCTCTCCGCTGCTAGTACGACTCTCTCCTGTCCGCCTTCAATTTGCACACTCTAGATCTCAATGATTAGTCCCTAATTCAACCTCAAATGAAAAAAAAATATTCTTAAATTCATTTTGAAATCCAATTCTGTTCAGAAAGGCAAAAGAAGCGTAATAGTAAAACTGATATCGCAGTTTCTAACGAGCTGTACCCACTTCAGTTCCTACATGTGCCATCGGATTGCACTACACTAGAAAGCACCTGTATATATGCAGGCGACCACAGATTTATACGTTAAAAAACATAAAACAGTTTTCTCCAAGAAATTCGTCCTCCCGAGGAAAAAATATGTCTAACCCCTTGGAGGTCAGTGCCTCGGGTGCTGCGTCAACCTCACAGTTACCCCGCCCCAGTGACGCCATCGAACACCAGTAGAGGCCTCATATGAGGTTCATTGTAGTGCTTCCCCACTGCAGGGGGTATCGGTGAAGGTTCAATCCTTAATCGGGAGAGTTAAGAAGTTGACAAAAGTACGACGACAGCATATTGCTGGTGTGAGGATCTACAGGCACTAAACATTTGTGGGCTGGATGTGAGAACCTCCCCTATAGCAGGCCAGCTAAGAGAAGTTTCTGGCGTTAGGGATCACAGGGTCCTCGGAACTGGGCCCCACACTCTTGAGTGGGTACAATCAAACAATTGACCTCTGCATCTTCTGCTCCCACCGACAACACAAACGCAGACAACAGCCAAC